GGGGTGCGCGCGTATATTAGGTTTAGTACTTTTAACTTTGGGACTTTAGAGTATAACATAAATCGGGGTAACCGAAACATAAGTGGGGGGTGGAAATAATACATTCAAAACCTTATAAGTAAACACCTAATTAGCTACTCTCATTACCTGGTTGTTTTTTAGTTTCGACCTAAACAGGGAGCTAATGTTCGGAAATTTATATCTCGTGACTTTATAACCTTGAACTATCAAGGTGACACATTTATTACAACATGATAAAAGGTCCGAGGGTACATCCGTATTTGGTTGATTTTGACCTTTCCTTGTGACTTCACCTTTGCTGTTGACTGCCTTGCAGGTTCTAATAGAAACAATGAAACTGAATAATCGGACTTAAGTACATTCTGTGAGTCGTTGACTTATTGGCTTATTTTTGTCCTGAATATATAATATGAATATTCTTAATTTGATTGAATTTAAACTCGAAAATATTCACTCTTATAGCTATTAATATGGTTTGGTTTGAATTTCGCGCAAAGCTACACGTGGGCTATCTGCGCTAGTCATCCCTAATTTAGCAGTGAAAGACTATAAACAAGGCAACTAGTCATCACAACCTACCGCCAACTCTTGGGCTACTCTTTTACCGACGAACTGTGGGATTAACCGTCACATTATAACGCCCCCACGGCTGAAAGGGTGAGCATGTTTGGAACGACGGGGATTTAGGATGTTCTAGAGGTTGTGAAAGTAAAACCCGAAAACTGTTAAATGAAAAAAGGTATTTTTAGTTTGAAAATAAAAATCACCTTCCATTCAAACTATTCAGATTCTGACTCCATAAGTTCACAGGCAACCCTTGGTAAAACACTCAATCAAATAATCTGATTTTTCTTTTACAAACGACTTATAATGATTACTTAAAGATTACCAAATTCCGTGAATATACACAATTGCAACATTACAGTATGTGTAGTTTCATGGTTATATAGTGGATATATAGCCCGTAAAGAGAGTTTAAGAAAACTAAGAAAAATGGTGATCATTTTACAGAAGGGGCGTAAAACCTGTTTAAACTACTTTGAGATTTAAAAATGTCGTTAATGATTAAGCCTAATAATATTTAGGTCAGGGCTGTGTGTCTACATTGAACAAGTTTATAGAAGCTAATCGAATACCAGTTATCTCCTAAGGAACGAAGTTTCTCAGACTGTAAGCAATGTGAAGTTCAAGTAATTCTGATAGATACCATCGAGTAAGGAAGTTTGTATTTGTTGTTTGCGTATAAACGTTTATAATCAACATTATTTTATAGGTAACAGTCAAATGGTGCCTATTCCGAGTTTTGACCGTATTAACAGAAACGTAAATAATCATTTACTTTAAAACTTCGTGAAAAATTAAAGAGTGTACGCCAATTTAAAACGAGCAACAAAGACAAAAAGTAAGAACAGACCTAAAGGAAATTTTCTAAAGCCCAGCATATAGTAGGAATTAAATCGACACCTGGTATAATGAAAAGTTTCTAGTATTTCTTAACATGTTTCAAGAACTTTTTACTTACAACCAATCGGGTAAGAATGCCAGATCACGTGACAAAAACATTTCTTATCACAAAATGGCTGCCATAAGTAGCACGAAAATTTCAGGTAACATATTGTATGTGTATGCCGGGCTTAAGAAAAGCGTGCTGTATCTTTGTTTCGGTTAAACATATTAAATTCTCACAATCGTTACTCATAATGTATCACTTTAATTCACGAGAATCCACGTGTTCCATTTGAAACAAAATCTCAATATTAGAGTCAGTTGGAAAAATGTTCAATGCAAAATAACGGGTGAATTATCCCTCTCACCGCCCTCCCCCGCTAACATATCAATTTACCTATTATTATTAGCTTTTTCATCTTTAAACATGTGTATGTAATCGATCTAGCTAAAATGGTGAAAGTTGAAACTTCTACAAACGTCACTTCCTGGTTGGTCGTTGTATATGTTATGCTGGATGGTGTGAAGTCATTTCCTCTCATCTGAAGTAAGTAAACCTAAAGATTGACAGGAATTTTTGTTTGTTTGAAGTTAAACAAAAAGCTAAACAATGGGCCATTAGTGCTGTGCCAACCACGAGTATTGAATCGAAACCAGAATTTTAGCATTATAAGCCCACAGATTTACCGCCGAGCCACTGGGGGAGAGGGGCATGAATATTTGTTCAAACTCTCGTTAAGACCCGTATGCATCTAAAATTCAACCCACATGTCTGTATGTGAATCTTCCACTGTGGCTGTTACGTCTTAAGTTGGCCTTCAGACTACGATGTTTGTGTTGTTTTTCTCTCTCTCTCTCTCTTGGCTCATCTGAATGCAACACTGCGCAGGTGTTATCCCGAGTTTTCTTTGAATGGTATTATCCTTACGTGATAAGTTATGAATTGGGCATACGAAGAGTTTGGATCAGCTGTCGGCTAGTCACTTATATGGCCAGTTTTATCTTGGTTTTTTCCCTCCTTGATAAACTAATGAAACGTAGCTCATTTTCAAACAACAGTTTCATCTAGTTTATAATTCGGGTCCGTGACTTAGATAAACCCTTAGTGGTTTTGGATGTTAACGTCGCTAATCTTGACTCATTTTCTGATTATGTTGACCTCACTGGCGTAAATGTCCTGACAATATAGATTACACAAGCAATATACACGTTTTGTTTTTAACGAAGGGACGTTTGGAGTATTTCTTTTTTTTTCTTCTTCTTCTTTTTTTTAAGGGATATCTTCGAAAAATATTCATTGTTCTGTAAGTGGCAACTGGTAAGCCTTACGTGCTTTCAGTTTTTGACTAGTTACTGCTATTATTTCTATTAGATATTCGTATTAGTTTTAAAATATCCTCACCAATGTAATTAAGAGTTTAAAATATTGCGTTTGAAGAGTAACCACGTGGTAGGCGTTTGCTGTGTACCTAACAAATGTTATTGACATACTTATGAATTTGTCACGGAAACGTGAGTACTTTAATAAACTAAACGTTAGCTAAGCCTACAAACGTGAGTTAAGCCTACTTTATATTTACAAACGTAGTAGAGTCGTCATCTGTTCTAATCCATATTAAATGTGTGTGTTTAGAGAAATAAATTCAGGGTCTAACAATAAAACTATCCGACAATCGGAACGTAAAAAATGATGCTAAAAATAAATGTGAAGCCCAATCTATCATTCGGCTTACCACTTATCATCCCTCTTCAGCAACCCTTGATAAAGACATATTGGAAAACTAGACTAGATTGGGCTTCATATTTATTTTTAGTGTCTTAAACGTTTTGTTTGCTGAATAATATATTCTTAAAGTCTTATGTAAATAAGTTCGCTACAAACACCACAAATAGAATAAGAAATTATATTAAAGATAATATGTAATAATTGTTATTATTCTTTGCGGTTCTGCTTTTAAGTTTATATTTAGGCGAACCAATTCAAGTGAATAACTTAGGCTTAAGTTTAATTACACGAACAAATCGTTAATTGAATAACTTGTATTCTGTTTGTTATTAATATCAAATCCCCCAAAGTGTTTTCCTTATAATTGGATATCGTGTTTTAGTGGCATGAAAACATGTACGTTTCTTCTGTTTGTTTAACGTTGTCTCTATCATTAACTCCGTGGTTAATGCTTTTTTTTCTTTTTTTGACCCAGGGAGACCATGGAGTCTATGATATCAGATAGCTCTCACTCACATCTTCGCTCATATCTCGATTTGGATCCCGAGGGTGTGCTACTCCGAGACAAAGCGGCTTTGTTAGGCTTATCCCCCAGACCTTCAATTGTGTGGAAACCGCCTGGACTTCCAGCTACTCTCACACCCAATGAATTGTACAATATTATATCCACTAACCCGAGCTATTTGCCAAATATTTATTCCTTCAATCCTCCAAGTGTTCATTCCTCTCTTATGGGACTCCCTTCTCAGATATGGTCCCAGTGGGCAACAAATCACTCTGGTGGGTTTGGACATCTAGGAATGATGACGTCACTTGCCAGTCCTGACACAGTTTCCGGTTCTGCTCACCTTACTAGCGTATTTCGTCCAATAGCTCATCACCATTCGGAATCTATGTTTAATCCTAGTGTTCATAGATATACACCGTATTATTTTACCCGAAAAGACTCATTATCGCCCTCTA